TCCGTCGGGTGCGCTTGATCAAATTGATACAATTACTTTTAACTCGTACGAGTTTTTAAGTTATGACTTTGTGTTCTGCTTTTTAGTAGCTTCATTTTTTCTTAAATTTTTTAGATGTAATTCATCAAACAAGATTAAATCAATTTGTTTTGAACTGTTTCTTATCATTTTGTATAAAATTGATATATTGCGCTTTTGTACATTGCGTTTTGTACATTTCGTAACTTTAAGAATAGTAATATTTTTTTGTTCTGGTAAATATTTTTTAATTTTAAAACATAATTCGTTTTATAAATTTGTATAAGTTCGATTGATGTATAAATTTATTATATTTTCAAATTTCAATATTATTTCCAGATACCATTAAAATGAAGAGAAGATTTGAGAGTGGTGCAAGTAAAAGGCGACGGAAAAAGAATTGGCCGAAGAAGCATGCACCAACAAAACCAAACTCAAAGTGTGAGTGACAATGGTAACATTGAAAATATAGCTGTTCCAATTGCAGAAGACCCAATTTTGGAACAACAACCAGCAAGAAATTTAAATATTATAAACCAGGAACGGGTTGAAACCGAAATTTTATTACAGGAAAATGCAGATGAAAATAAAATTGGAGATATGGAAACAGAAATAGCTGATCCGATTCATCAAGGTAATCCGTTCAATTTTATTGACATTGGGATTATCAACAAGAACAATTCTTGTCAAGTGAACCCTTTTCTTAAAATTACTTGTTTTGAAATTCCAAATAATATCGTTAAAGACTCTAATCATCATGCATTTCCTTATCGTTTTTTAAAAAAAACTCTTGCAAATGGAGAAACATGCAAAAGAGACTGGTTGTGCTGGAATGTTGAAAAACAATCTTTGTATTGTGCACCATGTTTTCTTTTTAACAAAAATGCTGCAAATGTGTCATTTTTCTCTAGTTCTGCCGGATGGGGCATCAGCAGAGGTTGGAGAAGATTGAAAGATCGTATTCCGTCGCACGAAAGTTCAATTTACCATAAAGAAAACTATGTTGTATGGAAATCTGCTAGTAGAGCAGCATTATATGAAACTTCAGTGGATAATTTACTTTTATCAGAACTCAAGACTGAAACTGAAAATTGGAAAAAATTATTCCAACGTATTCTAGATGTTATTATTTTTCTTTCTGAACGTGGATTAGCACTTTTTGATTCTAACCAACGACTAGGTGATCGAGCGAATGGAAACCTTTTAGGTATAATTGAGCTTCTTAGCAAATATGACCCACTTTTAGCTGAGCATGTTAAACATGTTCGAGAATCACAACAGTGTAAGCAGCGAATGCAAGCTCATTATCTTTCAATGCGAATTCAGAACAAATTTATTGATATTTGTGGTTCACACGTTCAAACAGCAATCCTCCACGAAATTGTGAAAGCAAAATATTTTTCAATAATAGTTGATGCTACTCCAGATTGCTCGTACAAGGAGCAAACTACTCTGGTTATTCGTTATGTTAAAATTTTAGATAATTCAAACTTTTCAGTTGAAGAAAGATTTATTTTATTTGAAAATTTTTCAAAAAAAAACTGGAAGAGAAATCGCTGCTTGAACACTAGAAATATAAATAAATAAAAAATAAATATAGTGCTTGAACACTAGAAATATTGAAAACTTTGAAGTTGGATTTCGAAGCCTGCATTGGTCAAGCTTACGACAACGGTGCTAATATGGCTGGAAAGTATAACGGGGTGCAAGCGGTTTTGATACAACAAAATCCAAACTGTATGTTTTCTAGCTGCGGAAATCATTCATTAAATTTAGTTGGTGTCGATTGCGCTGAATCATGCAAAGAAGCAGTAACGTATTTTGGAAGAATTCAGCAAATGTACAATTTATTCAGTAGCAGTCATCAAAGGTGGGAAATTTTAAAACAACATCTTCCTGTTTCGTTGCATGGAATGTCCAAAACAACATGGTCAGCACGGATTGATGGGGTTAAACCAGTTGCACAATATTTGAACTCAGTAAGAAGTGCTTTAAATGAACTTTGGATGCTACATTTAACAGCCCAGGCTAAAATGGAACTTAATGCTATTCAAAAGTATATTTCCAAATTCGATTGCATTTGATGTCGTCTATCTGGATGAAGCTACTCACAATGATTCATCAGATAAATCTAATCATTGAGGCACGCCATGCCACTATTGATATTGAAAAGGATAATATTGAAAATCTATGTAATGACATTCAAAGGTTGCGTGAACAATTTGATAAGATTTTAAATGAGTCAAAATTTGTTGCAAGAAATATTGGTGTTTCATGTGAGTTTTTAACTAATCGTCATTTTCCAAGTCAAGATGATGCTGAGTTGTATTATAAAATCAATGTATATTTTGTCATCATTGACTCAATTAAATCTGGCCTCACGCGACGATTTCAGTCTTTACAAGAAATTTGTATACTTTTTTCTCTGGCAGTTTAAAAATTTGAATAACGATGATCTTGTATTGGCTGCTCAACATTTTCAGCACAAATATGACAAAGAAATATCACAAGAACTTGAAAATGAGGTTTTATTTTTTAAAAGAATCTATGGTGCAAATTTTACATAAGACTGCACACCAAAAAAATTGCTGGAAGAAATACTTGGACTTGGTCTTTCAGGTGTCTTTCCAAACATTACAATTGCATTACGAATTTTTATTAGCTAGCCTGCATCGACGGCTTCAGGCGAACGCACATTTAATGTTTTAAAGCAGATAAAAAATTATCATCGTTCAAATATGGGGCAGGAACGGTTGAATGGACTTGCTATGTTGAATATAAATTGCAATATTGCACGAAAAATAGATTTTTCAAATATAATTGCTGCCTTTTCAGAACAAAAAGCAAGAAAAGCGTTTGTAAAAATTAATTAAAACTAATTCATTATGTTTTACTTTTAGTGAATTTCTTTAGATTTCATTTTTAAAATGTGACATATTTAACTATTCATATATAGTGACAAATAATTACATATCGAAAAAAACCAAAAAATAAAAACCAATTTATAATTATTTATGCATGAATCATTCATTTGTGAAATCTGAATTGTAACATTCGCAATAAAGTAACAGTGTAACATTCCAATCATACGTCGTACCTTCTTAATTCCCAGGCCTCCCCAAAAATGCGTTTTTAGTAGACAAGCGCGTCTCTTGGCTAGTTGGCTTGATAAAACGTACAAAAGGCGCCACATTTGTGTGTGACGGTCTGTCTAAATTATTGCATTTAGTCTTAAAGTTAGACATTTATCGGGTCCTGATCTAGCTGAAGACTTAAATGGCTTTGCATTATCTTGCGTCGTGTTTTGCGCAAATTTTTTTTTTGGGGCCTCCAATTTTTAACTGGCCGGGGCCTCTCCAAACCTCTGAAAGTCCCTGTATATATATATATATATATATATATATATATATATATATATATATATATATATATATATATATATATATATATATATATATATATATATATATATATATATCATGATGGTATTCTTCTTAATCTGCTTTATATGTATAACGTGTTTTTCTGATGTAGCATGCTGTACTACCAATCTGCGCCTCTCGTGTTTTACAGAAAATATATGATGGCAAATTTTGCATTCTGCTTCAGACGCGTTTTTGCTACTTTTATTCAACCAATTGTTAAAGTCATCTTCTTTCAGCCAGTCATCATTGAATGTACAGTAACACTTCTTCTTTTGGGGAACTGGCTCTACACTTTTGTCTACATTTTTGACAGATTTAAAATCTGCCATTGCGATTTGGGTTTATCAATCATATATACATAATTCTGAATATAAAATTAAAATATCGCAGATTAATGCAAGTTAATTAATTAAAATATTTATTAATAATTACAGCCAACATATACATAGCGAAAATATAAATTAATAATATAATTATAAGAAATAAAACAAATAAATTGAGAAACAATAAATGAAATATAATAAAAACAATAAACATTTTACCAATAAACAAATAAAAAAACAAACATAAAAACAATAAAAGAAAATGTACTAACACATTAAAAAAAGTAATTAAAAAAATTTATTCATTTTATTTTAAAATTCATTCATTTGTTGTTATTATTTTGTTTTATTATTGCTTTCGTTTTTTTCTCTCTCTTCTTTTGGTTTTTCTCCTTTTATTTATCTGCTCCATTTTTCTACTTCTGAATTTCCCATTTTTCTATTATCTTTTATCTTTTATTAAAACTTCCATTCAAAAATTTATTTTCTCTTTTTTTTTATATAAAATATGTCGTTACAACAAAGCATCCGCCATTGTGGAAATCCAAATATGTTTACCGATTACCATATTAGCCTCGACTTAGTGTAAAAAAAAGAAAAGATATTTGTAGTTAAAAGTGTCCACGTATAAACATTAAATTAATCTAATCTCGAGCTCTGAAGCAATGATGACAAGCTACTCGTTAGATGGCATTACTTCGCACATTAGCAATGACTTTTGCTAGAGTTTTTAATGCGTAAAACATGTAGATTATCTGCAAAAAATAGAAAATTTAAGGACATTTTCGCATTCCGGGAGATTTCGATGTTTTTTCAAATTACTTCCGGGAGATGGGAGTTGATGTCGATATCCGGGAGACAAAAAATGAAGCTTTTATGCAGATTTGTTGTGTAAAATGGACAAGCTCTGATTAGAACAAACTTTGAAAAGCTTTTAAAAAAAGGAATGATAGGAAAAATTACGTCAGTAAAATCAAAAAGCATATTTTATAAAAGAACTATTATTAGAGAATAAACAGTTTATTAAGTCTGTTAAAAAAAAAATTAATAAAGTATTATGGAAAAATACTAAAAACTATTATACGTATTATATTATTTATAAATTAAAAAAAAAACGATGTATTAGCGACATCAAACATGTATGATTATATTACTATTTAAAAATATTTTTTTATTTAGAAGTATGTCAAATGAAGTAAATGAAATTAGAAAGCAGAGGACGAATAAACTTTATTGTTTTAAATTTTATCTCGAAAAATTATTCTATTAAATATATATAAAAAATAACTAGTGGGACAAATTGATAGATACGACCAATTAATTGATCGGCTATGCATTTGCACAAATGTTTCATACTAGTTTATTGAGTATAAAGACAATAATGCTAGAAGCCCCTCATACACTTGTTAATTATAAACAGCGTTTACCCCAACAATAGCATCTATCACCATCATTTACGTTGAACGAGCAACGTTGCGTGTCGTATACTCCGGCTGCCTTTGCTTCATTATCACGTCTCTCCCAATCTTCAATATAGCAGTTTTCACCACAACTACAGTTTTGACGGCCTACGCAGTAACATCTAATTCCCCATAGTTTGATCTTTGAACACCGCCAGTCGTTCAAATTCATTAGGTCGGCTACCTTGTCTCGTTCTTCCCAATCGCGATAACACATTTCCTCGCAGTTAACAAAAAATTTTCGTACTCTGGAGCCACCAAACAGTTCAGATTGAATAGGGCTTCGGTTTCGGACTTGAATAGGGCTTCGGACTTTAGGATCTTTGGGTGCAGAAAGTGCTGCATTTGTCGAAGACAAAAATAAAAAGTTCAGGTTGAATAAAATAAAAATCACTGACACAATCATTTTGAAGATGCGATTTCCTAAAAATTGAATAAACAGTCATATTGTTTTCATTACTTTTCATATTAGCACTCTTCGGCTAAATACTTATTTATATACTCTTATAAACCAAGTTTCTTGAATTTATATTATTTTTAATATTTCTATTATTTTATCATTTTGATACTCTATAAAGTTCATTTCATCTCATCACAGAGCACCGCAAAACATCATTTAATCATGAAGTACGTACCTCCTTTCTTATTAATGCAGCATATATGGCTTAAGCCGGCCTCGAACAACAGACTTCCAGATCTCTGAACATCGCAAGACGGTACAGCCGTTTTTCAAAACACCTTAAGATGCTTGTTATGTATTTAAAGAAAAACGCACTTAAAAAATAAATTATTAGGTGAAACTCTTTCAATACCATTTTTGAAACTAGACTTTTTTAACAATTCTTTAATAACATTTATTTAATAACATTTGTAGGCATCTAAATTAGCCTATTTTGTAGAAATGTCAAATTTGATTTTTTTTTAATCTTAAGGAGTTTTGAAAAACGGCTGTAGAACGGCTGTTTATGCAAAATTCAGCAAAAATCTTTAGCAGCAAATATTACAGAATTTATTTATTTAATGTGACAACGTAAGGTTCGCAAGGTTTGTAATTTTGATTATAATGACTAATCAAAAGTTATTAAAATTTCCTTCGTTTAAAAATGATTAAACGAAGGAAACTTTAAGGAAAAAAAAAATAATAACTTTAAAATTTTTTGTTTAATAAAATTTATTTTCAAAAACAATAACGCATTGAACATTTAAGTGAAAAAAAATTAAGTTTTATTGCAATTTTTACTTTTTATTAGTTAATTTTTATTATATTAGTGTAAAAATAAGTTATTTATATTTTAAAAAATATATGTTTTTATCTATAACATATATAAAAATATATATGTTTAAAAATCTAAACAAGTGTTACTTTTATTACTTTGTACTTACATATACACACGAAAATATCGTCAAAGTTTTTTTTATTTTTTAAAAAATTTTTTGACATAAAAGTTATAACGCTATATATATATATATATATATATATATATATATATATATATATATATATATATATATATATATATATATATATATATATATATATATATATATATATATATATATATATATATATATATTTGTGTGGGTATGAATCGTTAAAACTCTTATATCATATAATTTTATTTAAAAAATATTTTTTTGACGATATTTATTTGTGTAAATGTAATTGCAAAGCAATAAAAGTAACGTTTATTTAAACTTATAATGTAACTATTCTTTACATTGTCTATGCTGTATATAAAGGGTCTGAATATAAAATTAACAAAATGAATTTAACAGAATAAAAGTTAACAGAATAATTCGGGTCATCGGCTTATTTGTTAAAACATAAATCAGTATATGCAATAAGATAAAAGTTTTACAAGAAACAAGTTGTAAACCAACGTAGCTCCAAAACTGTAACCAATCAACAGGATTTTTTCAATTTTTTTTTACTAAACTTTATGAGTAAATACTAAAAACCGGTTAAAAATATAAATCACATTTTTTAAATTTGTAAGCTCTGTTTTCTTAAGTTTAATCTTATTAACAAAAAAAATTAAACGAGCCTATTAGCTTGTTAGTTGTTGAAAGTTAATAAAGAGAAACATATCAATTTAAAAACACGTTTCGGGATAAACCAAGGTTGACAAATAAAGGGTTTGCGTAATGGCGGTTCAAAACTATTTTATTGAACATTTTTGGATTAACGTTATAAAAGAGTGAAATAAAATTATTACTTAAGACGTTACTTAAATAATATTAAAACATTTTTAATATTAATTTTTTTTATAATAATTATAAAACTAATTGGTTTTTAAACCCCCTTGAAGTTTAATATATCATTTCAGCATAAATTATCTGTTTAGGAGTCTTTAATTGTTCTATGAATCACAATAAAAGTGTATTGATTGTTGAATTGAACATTCAGATTTCATTGTATTGGATATAAAAAATTCTTGCAATATTGTTACAAAATATGAGCATTTATGTTTGGGAAACGAGCGTTTAATAGTCACTTTTTTAAAAATATTTTAATAGTTACTTTTTTAAAACCTTATTAAACAAAAAATCTTTTTTGTTTGTTTGTTAGTTTAGATCTTAAAAAGTTATAAACATTAAAATCTTTCAATAAATATAACAGGTAAATTTTTTAGATTACCAAAAAACCAACTAAACTTTAATAATCTAAAAGTTGTTCGCTACACTCAAGAAAGATGAAACCTTTAGTTTGAAAATAGTAATACTTTTTATGAACTTTTTAATAAGAAAATAATTCGATATTTTTGATGAAAAAATTACGGAAATAACCCCTATAACGAGGCGATATATATATATATATATATATATATATATATATATATATATATATATATATATATATATATATTTTTTTTAAAAAGAAGTGTTTCGACTAACACTAGTTATCTTCATTTAAAATTAAATATTTAAAATTTGTTAAAATACCTAAAAAGGTGTTTAAAAAAAAATAATACAAAATTTAATTATTTTTTGTACAAGCTGATAATAATATAATTACAAAAATACAATAAAATCAGTGAAAAAGTTTACCCTGTCATACAAAAGAAATAAGAAATGACAAAAGAATAGGTTAAAAAGATATGTAATATGTATAAAAAAATTAACAGCTAAACAAAAGTGTCATTTGTACATGATTAACCTGTTTATTCATACCAGGTTTTAACCATTCTATTAACATACTCTCTTTAAGTTGTAGCTCAAATTTGTTAGATGCCGAATCTAACACAGAAAAACACATACCATTTATTTGCATGAAATAATTTTTTTTAGCATGAAGATGTTTATAGATATGAGATTTTTTGTCCCTCTTGTAATTTTCAGATATCCGGGTCGTAAGATGGCGAGTAGTTTCGCCTATATAACAAGAGTTACATCCTGCACATACGAATTTATACACCACGAACAATTTGAACTCTAGAGGAATAGAATCTTTGTAAGAAAAGAATTTAGAAATTCTCAGTGAAGTAAATACTAATTTTATATTTGCTGAACTGCAATATCTTTTAGCAATTGAAGTCAGTCTTTTTTTAGTTGAATCAGATATTTTCCCCAAAAACGGCAGTTTAAAATAAGACAAAGATTCTTTGATTTTTGGTTGTGTGGGGGATTTGAGTTAATCTTGTTTAAATAATTGTTATATATTTTTGAAATGAGCCAAGATGGGTATATGTTTCTTTGAAATACTTTGAAGAGTATGTCAGAGTGAAAACCAAGTAGAGTATTAATAATTTTAAACGTTTTATCGATTAAGCATTTGATTAGACTAACTCTGTACGAAAATAGAGTAAAACTATAAAAATTAGTTCGAAGACCAGAATAGGTTTTTTGATGAAAAACGGAAGTGGTAACTGAAGAATTTGTTGTGTGTAGAGTTACGTCTGAAAAATATGTTTTTGAATTTACTTCTTGTTTCATTGTAAAAAAAATAGAACTGTGTCTACTAATTATATATCTAAAAAAAAGATATGCGTCATTTTCTGACTGGAAAGCAGCAAAAATGTTATCAACGTATTTTTTATAGAAAACCAGTTTTACATCATTGAAAAATTTGATCTATTTATTTTCAAAATGACTATGAAAAAATTGGCCAGAACAGGTGCCATTGGAGAACCCATTGCTACACCATCGATTTGGTCATAAGTTTAAACTTTAAAAAGAAAATGTGTTTGCAAAGTAGCAAATTAGAATTATTTTTTTAAATCAGTTTTAGTAATTTTAATTTACTATGGAGCAAAATTGAATTGACTGCAATTTCAATGATTTCTTGAAACGGAACATTGGTTGGTGTAGAAGCTCATTACATCGTACGATACTAAAAAATATTTGTGGAGATCGACTTGACTAATTTCTTTAACGAAGTAAAATGAACCTTTTGTACAAAATTCAGTGTTTATTAATGGATGTAATCAATCTCTATGAAATTTGGCTAGTTGGTAGTTATAGGTTCCAATAGATGATATAATCGGTCTAAAGTTTATCGTAGTCTCAGAAGAACTTATTTAATGCATCTTTGGAAGTCCATGAATACGAGCAGGATGGGCTCCAGACAGATAAATTTTGAAATGATAAACATTTTAACTGATTTTATTGTATTTTTGTAATTATATTATTATTCGTTTTTACATAATTATTTACATTTTGTATTGTTTTTTTTAACACCTTTATAGGTATTTTAACAAATTTTAAATATTTAATTTAAACTGAAGATGAAAAGTGTTAGTCGAAACATATGTTGTTTTTTTAAAAAAAAATGCTTTTAAAAGTTAGAAAATTTGTCTTGCTTATAAAAATATTTATACTTTTGGCACCTAAAAGAAATTTTAATATATGTATATATATATATATATATATATATATATATATATATATATATATATATATATATATATATATATATATATATATATATATATATATATATATATATATATATATATATATATATATTTATATTTATATATATATATATAATTATATATATATATATATTGTCAATGTTTTCTGCAACGTCATAAATGGTGATTGGCTTTCCTGGATTTGACAGCATCCAATCACTACAAGCTGTGCTGTAATATTTCTTTAAAGGTCCAAAAACACCTCTGTCTAATGGCTGAAGCTTATGGCTGGTATATGAAGGAAGGGTAAGCATTATTATACCATTTTCTTTAGCCATAGTAATTGCTTTAATACTGACATGACTTACATGGTTATCCAATAGTAATAATACTGGCTGATCTACAGAACATTTGATTTCGTAAATAATATGTTTCAAAAACTCTAAAAATTTTTCAGCATTTGACCATCTACTTATATGTGCTGTTCCCTTAGTTCCTGGAGGTGTTCCTTTCAGCATTTGACTTTTGAAGTTCACTCTTAAAAAAATCATCATAGGGGTATGGAATTTCCGATTTCATTCACAAAGCTAATAATAGTTATATTATTATATATTATTATATGTTGTATTATTTGTTATAATATAGTTCAGCAGAAGTTAAGCTTCCAATTCTCGATCAGCAGAAGTTAAGCTTCCAATCGATTTTTTGCCTTTCGGGACTACAACCTTAAAAGGTGTGTGCACATTTTTAATACCCAGGCAAAATCATATATTTTGAGAAGACTTAAAGATATTTTGAAAAAAATAATGAAGTATTTGCTTTCTTTAAACTCGTGGCTCTTGATAAATTTGACCATTTTTAATCCAGTAGGTTGGATATTTTTTAGCATTGGCTTTTGCATCCTCAAAAGCAAGCTTTTTAAGCCATGAATTGACAGTCCATAATGCATATTGCTTGCAATGACAAGGTACTAAACTAAGGCTTTTTCTTCATCTTTAGAGAATATATTCCAAACAGCAAATTGGTTAAAATATTGATATTTTGGTTTAGTATTTTTAGAACTAGTCTTCTGACAAAAGTTTATATGTCTTTGGAGTGTTGTTCTGCTGATACTAAAATGTTGTTCTGCAATCCTAACCGGAAATCCATCCTTCATTACAGCTTCTGAAGCAAAAGTTACACTATCTACATTAGGTTTTGATTGCTTTTTTCCTGTATTAATCCTTGGCATCTAAAAAATTGTTAAAAAAATCTGAAATATTTTAAAATATTTGATATATAAACAAATTACACATTTTAAAAATGTGTAAAGATAAATTTAAAAAATACCAAGTTGTTACCTAAATATACAAAATTTATTTTGATCAAAATGCCTGAATGCCTGAATTTAAAAAGTAAATATGCGACATTAAAATAATATCAAAAAAAAAATACTTCTTCACTACTACTACTACAATTACTACAACAATAACAACAACTACTACTACTACAACTACTACTAAAATATAATAAAAATCATAGAGATTTAATATAAATATATCAAAAGCAAAAAAATTTTAAGATAACAAAAAGTGTGTTGCAAAATTTACAACTCTCATTATTAAATTATAAATACCACATTGCTATACAACGCTGTAATCTAAAAAAAAGTAAATAATTATACAAACATTAAGTACACAAAATTAATTGAAACACGTATATAAATAACAAAATTGACTAATAATTCTGAACAAATTAGAGAACTCTAACGTGTTAAATGGTGTTCCATAACAGCCGCGAAATAATACTCTGTGCCAATCGGAATTTAGCAATCTACCTCATGATCAAACAAATTCTTTATCAGAGAAACAAACATATAGCCCTAGGTATAAGCAAACTATATGGCCCTAGGTAAAAGACTTGAAAGCCTCATGCAAAACTTCATCTATTAACAAAACCGATTTGATAGTAAACTTATTGAACATCGAATTCAGTACTCAAGTAACAAACAATATTATCTACTAGAACCTATAGAAAAGCATTTCCTCTAGGATTATAAAACAAAATAAGATGAAAGCAGCAAAAATTTACTTTAGACCATCAAAAAGAGTTTTCTTAAACTAATCCCCTGAATGAAGCATAACTTAGAACTTTTTAGATTTCAAATAAAATGAGGTAGCCCTAGGTATACCAACTTCATCTATATTTTTGTTGTTGTAGCTACTTGTTAGAGCAAACTGTACCGAAAGTTTCCGCTGATATGCAGATATTTGTGGTAATGCTTTAACCAGTAATGTTTATTGTTCTGCTAATTTATTGTTACATATACCAACCTATAAGTGCAAACTGTAATAGAGGTATATCGACGTAGATATACCTCCATTACAGTTTGCACTGATATGTTGGTATATGTAATGATACGTTAACAGAATAATAAATATTGTTTGACTAAAGCATTATCAGGTATATTATTATATCTGTGAAAAGTGTAAGTACAGTTTTCACTGATATGTTGATATATGTTATAATGCCGACAATATTTATTTTGCTTAAGTATTATTACATAAACCAACATATACTAGAGATATATTTATTTTCACATACAATATATGTGATAATAAATATATCTCTACCACATTTTTTCCTGATATGCTGTTAAATTCATTAGATTAACTGTTACCTAAAGATCTTTTATCACTGGAAAACAAGTAAAAATCATTTAAAAGAACTATATGTCTGTAAAGTGATAGCAAAAATATATAGCAAAATAAAGTATCAAATATGGTTGGTCTTTCTGATGTTGATGAACTCAGTGATACTGATTATGAACCATAGTCAATGGTTCAATTCCAATCCAATAAATATAAGTATAAATCCAATAAATATAAATAAATCCAATAAATATAAATACAATAAAACTAATTCTGATCCCTAACCAGTTTATGTTGTACAAAATTTAATAAGAGATGCACTACAATATATAACTAATTCTAATGCAGTCTAGAAAATTTGAAAAATATGACATACCAAAAGATGTCCAAGCATTAACTAAAACTTACCGTTATATTTAATTGACGTTGCATTGAGCAAGTGTAGCCGCATTTAAATTTACAAAAGTTTGTAGTAGATAATATTTTTTTTAGCTATTGATGTAAATGCTGATTTCATAAAGTGCTCTGATAACAATTAGAGCAAATTTTTTGTTCAATAGCAATATATAGCAATATATATATATTGTCTTATTCCAATAGTTCAATATATTTATTTGTTCAATAGCAATATATATATATTGTGCAATATATAGTGTATTGTCTTATTCCAGATAATATGCTCAGGTCACACACATAAAAAAAAAGTGTGATTGGTAAACTTCTGTGTAACAATTTAAATTAGTAATTATACAAATAATAATGTAATTTTAAAAACTGATGATGATTTTAGGTCAAATGCTTAATAATTGCATAAAAATAGGAACAGCATATGATTGTTAACAAATAGATTTCTTTTTGGTTCCTTTATTTGTAATTGATACTATGCGTATTTTTTCCTTGAAGTGTGTCATCAATATCTTTATGTTGTGTAAAGTTCAAAGCAAAAATTCATATCAGCTTTGCTCAGAAACGACTTATTTTAAATCAGTCCACTGCTTCTGACTTAGCTAGAAATCTAAGAGGTCTTTATGAACTAGAAAACTGGGAGGCAACAGAATTTCGTCAATTTATCTTATATAAGTTACGCACAAACTGTGAATTTGCGCAGTTCATAAAATTGGTCAACTTTTTGCTAATTGCGCAAATTGGATGATAACCTTGTACATTTTACAGAACAAGCAATCGTTTGCACATTGCATAAATTGTGGAACTAAAATACTGCGGGTTTCACAAAATGCGCGGGTACTTTCTAAAATATCTACTTATTTCGGTTATAACGTTTTTTATTATATTTCACGAAGCCAATTTTGTATGCAGCAGTAACATAAACTACTATAATTTTAAAAATATTGCAGTAACATAAGCTACTATAATTTTAAAAATATGTGCATTTTTTTATTTTATTCTGAAATGTTTTGTTAGCATTTAAAATAATAATATCATGAGCGAAGCAAACACATATTAAGGTCTATTTAATATGATTTTGAAATGTAAAACATTGTGGTATTTGGAATTCGAGAAGTGTGTTCTAAAAGTTTGAAGCGATGAAAGAAAAAAAAAAGATCCAGAAAAGAGTACCACCTTAAAAGTGTGTACAAAATTTCGAGTTTAAGTGATTTTCAAAAAGTGGTAACAAAAAAGATTAAAGGTATATAGCAACTAAAGTAAATGTTTTTGAAATAATTCGAAATATACATTTGTCTACTGAACACAAAGGTGAAAAAAAAAAACGCATAAACAAATAATGGAAACATATACAAATATTTCAAGATGTCTTGTTAGTTAGTTCATTAAACAAGGCAAACAATGTACTAAAAAATTAAAGAGAAGATAAATTGCAAGTGAATTAATGATTAAACCTATAAAAGTAACAATTTGAATAAAAGGGGTCAAGTAGATCTTGTGGATTATCAAAGCTTACCTTATAGTAATTATAAATTTGTTTTACATTATCAAGAGTATCTGACTATATTCCATATACTTAGATCCGACTAAGTTCCATATATTTATGTGTTTTTGCTAATCTTACTAGTATTAGATATTAAAGATGGGAAATATAAAGTTGGCACAAAAGATGGCATATTTGATCTTTGGCTAGAATGAAACAGCTTTGAAAGTGTTTAATTTATAGGATTAACAGCTAGCGAAGTGCCAACTGAATTACTGAGAATCCGAGCTTTAGCACATAAACTTTCTATCGGTCAAGGTTCGTCTTTAAAAACCAAGGTTTTAATAGACGATTCACGAAATGAGCATAAATTTGTCCATTTCACGAACTGCCCAAGTTTACTATTTGTACGTAACATCTACAAGAAATCTTATGTTCAAGAAAGTTTTAGACAATGATGTTTAAGATTTGTTTGTTGCATTTACTGTAACTTTGAGAATGTTAAACAAAAACAATGATAATAACAAAAATTATTTATTGCCATTTTCTAAATGCCTATTTGCTACATATATCCATAATTTATTTGAAATTTGTAATTTTTAATGCTCATAATTTGTTTCATATTGTTAATGGTTTGAGTATTATGCTTGTTCTGTAAATAAAGCATCTGCATTTAAATTAGAAAGTTTACAATATTAAAAAAAAAGCAATAAGAAATGCAAAATATAATGTAGCTAAATAGTTTATTGGTCGCTCTAATTTTTTAAACCCTTCATGGTAAAATAAAGTACAATTAGCAAAATTTTAATTTTAAAAGTAACAAATACTTTTAAAAGTTGGAATTTATGTAAAGATAGAATCTTTACATAGAGAGTATTTAGAGAGAAAGATGGAATCTCTATGTATGGTAAAGTAATAAAAGTACTTCTTAGTAAGGTAGAGAAAAAATGTTTAATTATTTTTAATGCTCTTGCAGTTTCAGTATGACATCAGTTTTTTAAAAATTTAACTTAAATTATTTATACCCGATAATAAATATTAAATAAACCCATACCTTGAATATACCTCAAAGTTATTTGAATTTATGTATTTACTGTATTTATGTTAAAGTTGTTTATGATATATATATATATATATATATATATATATATATATATATATATATATATATATATATATATATATATATATGTATATATATATATATATATATGCATATATATGTATATATATACATATATATGTATATATATATATATATATATATATATATGTGTATATATATATATATATATATATATATATATATATATATATATATATATATATATATATATCATAAACAACTTTAACATAAATTCAAATAACTTTGATGTATATTCAAGTTATGGGTTTATTTAATATTTATTATCGGGTATAAATAATTTAACTTAAGTTTTTAAAAAACTGATGTCATAAAGGGTTACCCTAATATATATATATAAATATATATATATATATATATATATATATATATATATATATATATATATATATATATATATATATAAAATATATATATATATATATATATATATATATATATATATATATATATATATATATATATATATATATATATATATATATATATATATATATATGTATATATATATATATATATATTAGGGTAACCTGGGGCAAAGCGAGACATTTAGGGTTTCTAGCATTGTACAGATTTTTTTGAAATGATACAGTAATTTTGGTTTATTATATTAAAAATTTCATGTTCTTTTAATATTTTGAAGTAATTTCCATTAGTTTTTTCTTATAATATGACATAGAAAAGTTTAAACGAGTTGCGTCAATTTGATCAAAAATCAAAATTAATTTTTTTTTGTGTGGAAAAAATCCACATTTGCTGCCATTTTTTACGACAGAACAAACATAATATTAAATTTGTAATAAATTTTTCGTTATCTTTAAGCAGCCATTCATCATTTTATGTCAGATTATCTTGTTTCAAGAAATATATAACTTCACATTTACGGGGAAAGTGCGACAACGCTAGTTACTAAAAAAGATCGTCAAAATAAACGTTTAGGAAAGCAGATTAATAAACTTAATATATCGTCAAAGTAAACGTTTACTCGTCATTTTTTTTATTTTATTATTTTAGTTTAATTATCATTTTTTGAAAGAATTTTATGTAAACGTAAAACATAATTTTATTAGAAACTTTAAAGGAATATAACATAACTTTGTTGTCATTTAGTGACCGAAAGTTTTTAAATGAGAAACTACAAGAAAAAAACTTATCAAGCTAACTGGAACGAAGATGACATTAAAAATGCTATTACAGCAGTAAAGTTAAAGCAGATGTCTTTATTAAATGCTTGTAAAAACGTTAGTGTGCCAAAAGATCCACTACATCTGAGTATTAAAAAGGCTTCACTTGAAAGTAATTTACATACTAATTTACTTGGAAGATTTAGAAAAGTTACTTTCTGATATTTAAGAACAAGGGTTAAATAAGTATATTAAAGATATGAACAATTTATTTTTTGGTTTCTCTATTAGACTTTTTAAAACGCCATCCTAATTTATCATTAAAAAAACCAGAAACAATGTCTATAAACAGAGTATTTGGTTTGAATGAAGATAATGTTAAAACGTAATTTAGCAATTTAGAGAATTTGTCGGATAAATATCACTTTGAGCCACATTAAATTTGTAATTGTGATGAGTCTGGGTTGTTATGCGTCCATAAGCCATTAAAATTTATCTTATCTGCAAGAAAACGGTGTATTTCATCAGTGACAAGTGGGGAAAATGGAGTCACAACAACAATTTTATGTGAATGTAATTCTGTTGGTCATTATGTACCACCCATGATGATATTTAAGCCCCCAAAAAAAGAAATTATTACTCACAGATAACGCTACAGCTTGAACTATTCAAGGATGCTCAGAAAATGACTGGGTTAACACTGATTTATTTCTTGAATATATACAACATTTTATTAAACATGTACGATGCACCTTAAAAATTAAAATTTTATATTTTAACATCGTACATGTTTAACTTTATTAAACATGTACGATGCACCTTAAAAGCTTAAAAATTATAGACTATGCTCGTGACAATGGATTGTTTTTGCTATCGCTACCACCGCACACAACTCTTAAACCTCAACCATTGGACCCCGGATTTCTTAAACCTTTGAAAACCTTTTTTAATCAAGCATGAATGAGATGAATGTGAAACTATTCAGAAAAATGATATCAAATAGAAAATTTTTAATGAAGCATTAAGAGCTGCTAATATAGAAAATCCTACTTCAAGTTTTAGAGCAACTGGAATTGTCCCATTTAATCAGCATTTATTAGAAAACCAACTTCCAAAGATATCGTTGAGTGATAATAATAAAATCAGGTTATCTATACCATGTGAAATTCACTTTAAACGCAAAAACAAAAAGAAAGTGAAACTTTACAGCACCCAGAGTCGACTACATATGTATTAATGAGTCATTAATTTAAAGTCAATTGAAAGCTTTTCAGAGATCACTGTTACTTCATCAAGTTCTTTTAAAGACATACTTCAAATTCCAAAACTTTATCCTCCAAAAAGAAAATTACCTGGAAAAAAAAATTTACTAAAAAAGAACAATGACAAAAAATTAAACAAGAGAAATATATAAAAAAAAAAAACAAACAAAAAGAAAAGACAACTAAAAAAAATGCTTGATTGAAAAAGATGTAAACAATGAAAAGAAATGGTTTTGTCCAGTTTGTCAAAGCAAATGGTGCAATAATTCACAAATTGTCTGGATAGCTTGTTGTGTATGTACTGTTTGGGTACACAAAGACTGCACATCATGCTTTTTGATTTAAAAGGAAAATTCACATTATCACGATACCTTTATGTTTTTATTTGCGTTCTTATGTTTATTCAGATCGAATTTATCAAAATCTGCTTTAATTTTATTAAAAACTATGTATTTATTTAGTTTTTTTTTTAATAAATATCTCACTTTGCTCCAGGTTTTAAGGAAAGTGAGACAGGGTAGTTGTTGCCATTTTAAATTTATTTATGTGCCAATGCAACAACCTATCACCATAAATATTTAAGAGATCATTAGACACATAATGTGCTAGTGGGCTGCAAAATTTCTTGTTGTGAAACGTGATACTTCTCAAGTTATGAACATTCCCCATGAAAGTGTCTCGCATTGCCCCAGGTTACCCTACTAAAGCTGGTATTGATAAAATTTTTATTAAACAAACAAAATTAGAAATTTTTATTAATCTTTCCAGTTTTATAGTGTTGTACAAAATATTAAGTTCTTTTCTGTTTGTCTTATTATGGATGATGATAAAAGCAAAATGAGAAAGAAAGAATATACAAAGGAAACTCTTTTAATAAAATAGATTATAATTGTTTGCCTAATAATGTAGTTTTTGAATATTATGTTGTTTAGCGTATTTTTAGTTGTATAAACAGTAATTGAAAGAAATCGAAAGTAATAATGCATTTATATAATACAAGGTAAATAAAAATTTAGTATAATAGTAGAGGATTTTGTGCAATTTTCTTATTATAAAATTAATATAACATGAATTTTTATTATATTATAAATATATATAGTTATATTATAAATATGTATAGTATAGATGTGCATGTTAAACATTGTGCAAATCAATTTAATAAAATTTTTAAAAATTAGTTATTGTTATTATTTTTAGAACCATTGCGTGTCTGCGTTTGTATACAAGTAATAAAAACACGTTTCACACGCGTGTTAGGTGTCTAATAATCTACGCGTCTAAAACGTATTTCTGGTACATGTTCTACTCGGTAAAATGACTAACATACATTCCTGAATATCATGTAATCTGAAAAATATTAATAGCGCATTTAATACTAAGTTTTATGCGTAGTTTTACGAATTCGATACTCAAATAGGATTTGAATTTTATATTCATAAAAGGATGAATTATTAATAAATACATATATTGGCTAAACAACCCTAAAAAAAAATATGCTTTAAAATACAATAAACAGTATAACATTACTTGATTTTTAACCTTCGGAAACTATTTCTAAACTATTAACTTCGGATGACGTATGACAACAACATGATTTCTTTAAATTTTAAACATTAAGTTTTTTCATCTTTCATTAAAAATTATAAATATAAAATATAATAATTCACTATTTAAAGTACAAATATGGTAGTGTTTATAAATAATAAACTTGTATCAATATTATTAACATTTTAGCTCACCCCTATTTTTACATAAAAATTGAAGCAAAAATAAAAAGCGGAAAGAAACTTGCAACCAATAGCGGCAAAGTATTTAAAAAGGAAAAACCATTTAAATAAAGCAAATAACCAGTATATTTTTTAAATTAACATTTCTGAGTCTTAAGCTTTAATATATTATTTCCAAATATAAGTTAAAAGGTGTTACAAAAATAACAAGTTCAAATTTTGTACTTAATTTTTATTAAAACTTGGTGATTTTTTACAAAACACTGGATTTAAATGAACATGCTTGTGTTACCTTTTATTCAGTGACAATAAGATTATTATAATATAATAATCTTATTGTCTGAATATTATATATTATAAGATTATTATATAATATAATAATCTTATAATATATAATATTCAGACTCTGATGGGGCAATAAGGGTATGCACCCCCTCCCCCATCAGAGTCTGAATGTCCAGAAAATGTCTTAAAAATTGAGGACCTTCTTTTCTTTTTTTAGGAGACGCAAATATGGTACAAAGTACGAAAAATACTTCAAAATCCACACCCCCAACCGCCCGTCACCGAAAAGTCCTGGATCTGTCACTGCTTCTATTTTGTGGCATATATGCTATATATTCTATTTGCATAAACCCGCAAAGCGCATATATCGAACACAAAGTTCTTTTTGAATTGTAAATTTCTTGTTGAAATTGGGAGTTAGCAAAAAATTAAAATTGTGATAACAGTTTTCAGTATCAGGACGAATATGATATTTACAGAGGGAGAAAAAAAAAACAGTAAAAGCAAATGGTTAACACAAGATTCGTGTCGTAAATTAGATTTTATCTAATTTACGACAGAACTTATTTTTGTTACAATGATTAACAAGTTAGTAGTCGAAAAATCAAAATCTGTATAGATCAGGAATGGATCCAGTATTTTATGAGCTAACCTCAAGACACGGAGCAAACTTTGCAAAAGCTTTGCAAAAAATAGAAATTTGGCACAAATGTTTAAAGATATAATTTAGGAAAGACTGTAAAATATTTTTAAAAAATTATCAACCCTTTAAGATTTACAGCAACTTGAAGTTAGTTATTTTTTGACTAAAAAAAGAGGGGAGATAAAGCCGGAAATATGTCAGTTTACCATTACCCTTTTAACAAACTTGTAGTAATGTTGCGAAACTAAAACTTGGTACCAAAAGAGTTTAAAACCTGCTGAATCTAAAAATCATAAACTTATATCTCTCAAAACGATAAAATATAGTTCATTTTTAGATTCACAAAACGCACTTGTTAATGACAATAAAAAAGGCCATTGACAACTATAGTTCTAGAAAAAATCTGATTGATGAAAAAATGTTTTGGTTTTCGTTATTTTAAATATTAAACATATATCTACTTTGCGAACCAATTTTTATTTGGCCTTATGTTTTATCGAGGAGTTATTGATGTTTTAGTTTTTCAATTTTTCTAAAGACATTTTGCAAAAAAAAAAAATTTGCAAATATATTTTGAATACAAATACAATTATTTTTGTTTTGTAATAGCTTTGTAAAAAATTTACAATATTAATACAAAACATAGTTGAACATTTTATAAATTTGTTTCTTTTTACTTTCATTACATAATAATAATGTCATTTTCATTACATAATATCATGTCATTAAATTTAACAATATTCTGTAACTTTTGTTGTTGATTGTTTTGTTGTAATAAAACATTTATTATCATCAATAAAAAAAGTAGTAAAATAATATAATAATGTCTAATTAACATTACCATGTTAAGTTACATAACTGAATAAATTATATTTAGTTATCTTTTACTTTTACACAACTGTTTGTTAGTAGTTAATGGAGAATTTACAATAATTAGTTGATAGTTAGGCATTTAAAATATGTCTATTAAACTAATAGCTACTTGTTCAAGCAATATGTTCTTTATAAATACATATTGATATGATATTGTTTGTGTTCAAGTGTACTTTTCTTGTTAGGGACATTAAGTTTATTTAAGATTTCTTGTATTAAGTGTTTAGACAGAGATTCCTCATTATATTTTTATATGGATAACAAAATTAATCACAGCTTTGAAAATAATTATGGAGCTTGTTATAAACAATCATATACTCAAGAAAGAAATCTGATTGAAGATATTGACAGCAATGACCATAAGCTACTTGAAAAACGAAAAAGTCTGAAACAAGAACAAATTACTAATATATGCACACACCATCATGATATGTTAGTTGTAAGATATGAGGGTAATCAGAAAAGTTGCTGTAATACATTTCTGAGTCACCAAAAGGTGTGTAGAGGTAAAAATTTATATATTTATATTTCATTAGATAATATCATTATTAATAAGCCATATAAGTTTTTTTGGAAATAAGATTTGTTCAATGTTTCATAGTTATTAATATAACAAATTGAATAGTAATATAGTTACATAATATATACAATTAATGTTATTTAAGTAATGTAATTACTTTCTTTTTAGGCATCTCCACGTGTGATTACAATGCATACTGTGTTAGAAGCAGAAACCATAAATTTAAATATGGAAAAAAACTGTGTCCAACCTGTCGAAGTAAAGTTATGACATGTTTATCAAAAAGTGTAAGTGAAAATAAAAATGAAGATTTTGATATTGTTAATGAAAGATCCATTCAAAATAAAAAAGAAAGTGTAGATACACACTTTGCATCTGCCGGAGTATCTCCAATTAAGGTCAAAGGATTGCACAAGTCAGGTAAAATCAGAGAAGGTAAACGAAAATTGACATCATTAACAACCTCCATTGAAAAAAAGGTAGCCGTTTCCCTTAATATATCAGAAAAAAGTTTTGAAGAACAGTCAAGTTTTAATAATGAGTATATGGAAAAAGCAAACTTGTTTGATAACATGATGGTATTTTTAACTAACAAAATTGCAGAGTCTACATCAACATCAAAAAAAGTACAACTTGCGACACTTGCTCCAACAGACTGGCCAATAAAAAAGGTATCTGAAACATTGCATGTAACAAACTTTGTAGCTCGAACTGCACGTAAGTTAACATTAGAAAAAGATATTTTAACCATGCCTAATCCTAAATTAGGAAAAGCTCTTCCTGACGTAACAGTTCAACTGGTCAAGACCTTTTACGAAGACGATGAACATAGCCGTATAAATGCCTGGTAAAAATGACTATTTAAGCTCAAAGAAAAATGTCCACATGCAAAAACGTTTGCTCTTATGTAATTTAAAGGAATTGTTTGTTGCCTTTAAAACCAAGAACCCAGAAATAAAAATAGGATTTTCAAGGTTTTGCACTTTGCGACCTAAATGGTGTATAACTGTTGGTGCTTCAGGAACACATTCTGTATGCGTCTGTGCTATTCATCAGAATTTGAAACTGCTTTTACATCCTCTTGGTGTGACATACAAAGAATTGTTACCTTATATTGTCTGTGATATAACTAATAAAGACTGTATGATGAGGAAATGTGAAAAATGCCTAGCAACTATGAATGCATTGGTTGAAAAACTTTATGATATACTTGGAGAGTTTGAAGATGATGATGAGTTTGAATTTGATCAATGGACAACAACAGATAGGTCAAACTTGACACATAATAAAGAGCCAGTGTTTGAATACATTGAACTAGTA